GAGTTATTTATGTAAAGAACTACGTTTTGGACTTGATCCCTTTACCGGGTACATAGACAACCCATATATTTTCGGGTACAGCCCCTTTCTGATAATAAAATAATTTTTTCCCTATTCATGAACTATTTTAAGCATGCATTTGACTTATATCTTTTTATATTATTGATATCTTGAAATATGAAGTATAAAGACATAAGATGAGTCTCTTTTAGAGACATGTGATTTCATTTTGATTTGAAGCATTATGAGGATCGATATGAGTTAGCACAATTTTTGATCATATTTGGTGCTAAGTTCATACCACATACTACCACATTGGTTGGAGGATGGGGATCCATGTCGATAAGGATGTTGACATTTGTAGCTATGAAATGGTCTTATATCTCTTAAATTGGTATAACGACTTTCATGTTCGGTGTTAATATTCTTGTTGGACCGGATCATGTTACGTAAGGTGTCATCATTGGAGCTATACTTTTGTGGCCACCTATGTAGTTTAACCCGGGTGTTAAAACTTTGTTATGGCAATCAAATGTTTGCCTAAGTGGGAAAATGTTGGAATAATTAATTATTCCATATGTGGGCTTCACATTGGATTGCAAATTTTACGGGTTAGATGTATGGCTCATAATGATATTTGTGTTTGGGCCAAATTTATTAAGTGATCAATTGGGCCTTTTACACCTTATGGGTTGTAATTAATTTTATGTGGTAGTTTAAAGTATGTGGGTCGAAAATAAACCCTAATTAGAATTCTAGTCGTAATGGGACGGCTCAAATTATTTCCTATATATAAAGGCTAGGTCCCCTCTTCTTTCCATATATTTTTATTGGCTTGCCCCATTGATAGCTAATACTTTTGTGAGAAGCAAGGAGGGGAAGATCTTGGCTGCTATTACAACAATTATTCATATCAGCAATGGCTTCCGCAGGTATGAATTCGTTTTATTAATTTATTACGTGGTGATTCTTGATTCTTGGCGTGATTACAAATAAATATTAACATTGTGTGTAAATGTCACGACGTATCAAAACATTACAAAACTAAAAGTTTTGAAGACATACAACTTTTGGAGGCTACTACTTTTGAAGAAAATGACATGATACAGTTAAAATTTGTGAAATTCATAATTTGGTAACAACGTCAGTTCAAAGATTATCAATTATCAAAGAATATGTTGTTGATATTTATAAAAGCATATTGAGAGTTGAAGAAATTTGGAATGAAATAGGAAGTGAAATCATTTCGATTGTTACTATAAAGAAGCAGCTAAGTAAGAAAAGAAAGTTATAAGATTTATAAAACTCTAATATTTGAGTTTTTAATTTTGCATTGTTTTTCAAATTTTTTATTGCTATAGAATATAATAGATATTAGAGACTTCTACATGTTAATTTTACTTTTGAAATAAAATTAGTAGTAATATATCATTTATATAAAACTTTAACCTTGAATATTAATAGGACTGATAGTGGATTCTATGAAATGTATGGATGATAAATGATAGTACTAACAAATGTGTCGTTGAAATTAATATACGACTTTGAATAATATGTCTCTAATGAGATAGGAACTATCATATTCTGAAAGATTCATATGCATAGTAAATTGGTTTTTGACTTTTAATTGTGAATATTTTAATCTTAAAAACTTCAATTTAAAGCCAAATCAAACAATTGTTATGCATCAATCATGTTTGAAATATATTTATAAAAACTCATTTAAAACAACTTAAATAAATCCAAAAACTCCAATCTTATTTCTTTCTTTCTTTCCTTTTTATCGAAAACATGATAAATTATTTTAAACTTGAATTGTAATAGGACTGATAATGGATTCTGTGAAATGTATGGATAATAAATTGAAATTAATATAAGACTTTGAATAACATGTCTCTAGAGAGGCAAGAACTATCATATTCTAAAAGAATCGTTTGCATAGTAAATTGGTTTTTGACTTTTAATTGTGAATATTTTGATCTTCAAAACTTCAATATAAAACCAAATCAAACAATTGTTAATAGACATAGGCATCAATCATGTTTGAAATAAATATATTTATAAAAACTCATTTAAAGCAACATAAATAAATCCAAAAACTTCAATCTAAGGTCAACAAAAAGTTTTGACCACCAAATCATATTCATTATAGTAATTAATACAATAGTTTGATCTTTGACCTGTCCTTGTCTTGTGTGTTTGTACTAAGAAAATGTGACGAATCTCACACTAACTATGTATACACAACCACATGTTTGCATGTGGGCCGTCAAATGCTTATATTCTTGATTTCACATGACTCATTAAAATCTTAATACTTATATAAATAGAACCATGTGACAAAAAAATTAAATTTTGACCAATTTTAAAACTTAGGTTGACCAATTAATGATTATGTTTTTGGTGGAAAACTTTAGAAATTTATTAAAAAAAGAACTCTAGAATGCATTGGCTTCACTTTTAACTTTGGCGTTAAACTTAAAAATAAGTAAAAATATTTTCTTTATTTTCAATGCTTAGATTAATTACTTTTATTTTAATTTAAAGTAAAATGGTAATTTACTTGAAATTCTTACTTTAATGTTAAAAAAATAAATTGCTTGCAATTGCTTCTAATTTTATCACCTAAAAATATTATTATTTTTAAACTTTATTTATTTCATTATATGTGAACGTTTTAATCTAAGTTTGGCTAGGATTACAAAACCGAAATGAATGAAGTATAGTTAATTCTAAGCAACTTTTTAGCTCTAAATATGATTGAATAATTCACTTTTATTATTTCAAGTAAAAGGAAAAATTTCTTAAAAGTAATTTTACCTTATCGTAAGTAAAAGTAACTTACTTTTTCTTAAATTTTAAAAATAAAAAATTGTTTATTTGAGAACTTACCTATATATTTACTTAAAATTAAATTCTATAAGTTGGGCCAAACATGCCAATTTATACGCAGTTGGCACTTTGATAACTAGTACAACAATTATTAAAGATAGACAAAGGGATAAAGCCAATTCCCATATGCTCAAGATTATATATAATTGAACATATTTAAAATAAAATTGAAATATATAATAACGAGATTTTAACTTATATGGGCCCGTTTGACAGTGATTTTGAGAATTGATTTTTTTACCGTTAAAAAGAAAAGGGGGTCCACATGTGAGTGAAGAAGTAAAAAATGACAGCTGAAATAGTGAAAAAACGATAAAAAAAAAATCAATTTTTTGATATGAAAAATCACTACCAAACGGGCCATAATTACCTAACTCAGGAAACATGTTAAATAGTATATCTCATTTCATATGTGCTGCTAGCACACAACACAGTTAAAATGGACCATACCCATAAACCATTGTCCTAACCATGTTTAAACTGCAAACTTGGAAAATAGTGCTGCAGTAGCATATTCTGAAAGTCTCATTTCCAAGTATATTACATAATATAGTTAAGTTCTTTTATGGCAACCATATAGAGCTATGTGTATTAAATAATAAAGTTAGATCAAATGTACAATGTACCAAACATTTATTATCGAACCAAACAGAAGGAGAACGAGGACATGTTTATTAAGTTAGATTAAGGTATCCGACCTTATCTGCATAGCTTGTGCTTTTTTAAGTAAGATCAGACCTAGTCAACTTGTTCGGAAGCTCCAAACTTTAACACAGCGCTTAGTCACGATATGTGCTGGCTACAAGGCCGAACATGGGTCGAGTTGCCGCATATTCATTTTAATGTAATGGAGAAAGAAAAGATCTAATTAGGTCCAACACGAATACGAGATCTTAACTGTCTCGACCGTTTCGATATTGTAGATGAACATCTCATGTGAAGTCAGCAACATGTAATAGAAGTCACTAAATAATAGTTTAACAGAAGTCACTAAATAATAGTTTAACAAGCACCGACCTCTCTTTCATGCCAAAATGAAATATCGAATTTCAATACAACCCTTTGAATATTATTCAGATTTCTAATCTCATTTTCACATTTCCCAACTTCTCAGACAATTCCTCGTGTGCATGTGTGAATTTTCATTTTAAATAATTATAAAATAGTATTTTAGATGCCAAACAATATGGCCATTTCATGGAGCACCATACATAGTAGCCGCATCTCCATAAAAGATGACGGATCTCTGAAAACAGGTTCAGGAACCCACAAATTATGCAAAGCAATGTGAAAAATAATAAATAAATGTCATTTCAGATGAATTTAGGATTCACTACACGAATCTTTTTTTTCTCTATTTCATTATTATCATGGGCACATCAAGGGAAAGATTCACTGTTAAATTTGATTTATGTCTTCCTCTTCGATCGTATTTTACTGAGCTTGCATTATTCTTGTAAACAAGAACTACTCTAGGTCAATGCAAGAACTAAACTGACCTACAAAGAATTTTTAGAATTTTAAAGAAATTCTTCTATGTCTTCTTCTAATGTTCCGCAAATATCCGTTCGAAGAAAAGAAGGATCCCATAAAATTCATCTTAGTTTTATGGAGGAATATTGGATTTTCTCTCGGTTTTGACATAGCGACCCTAAAGAATCTAGTATCAAGAATGAAGTTGTCAATATTCATATAACACGCCTTTGATTATTGCATATCGTGCCTAAAGGTGCACTAATCAATTAACTTGGTAACAAACAGCATCTCTTTCAGGTCCCTTTTTCTAATTCCATCTTACTAACACAAGAATGAATCTATATATGTGTTACGGAAGTTGTTAGCTCGCAGAAGCTCGACTATTCGAGTGCAATGTTCGGTTCCATATCATGTTTATCATCGATCATTGCTATCTCCAATGATTGACATGCATTCTCGTTCTCCTTATTTTTAGTGTGATCAGATATCCATCTCAACATTCTCATATTCTCCGTCGTGTAAAATTCCAAAAAATCCCAATGGGGCAGAACAAAATCAGCTGTAAAAAGTATCTAATATGATAGAGAATCAAAATGAGCAGACAGTTTGCCTAAGCATCACCATGTGAATCCTGCGAAGAAACAGTCGTCAACAACCACTTGCAATTTGCAAACTCCTTCCCCACCATTGTCCCAAAACAACTATAAATACTAACCAATGGCCCTTCTCAAATCTGTCAACTCAAATTCTCTCTCTCTCCCTCACACACAAAATACACACTATAAGAGAGGAAGTTGCAAAAGTTGTATCAAGAACACATAGTCATGGAGTATTACATGGATGAGAAATGGAAATTGTCAAAAGATGATAAGAATAACTCTCTGTCAAGGAGTGTTTCCCAGAAGAGCTCCACAAAATCCCCACTTTTAAGAAGTTTAACAAAGAAGAATTCCTTCAATCTTTCAAGGAGTTCCTCACAGAGGAGCAGCAGCACTTCTTCAAACAAGTCGTCGTCCCTGTCGAGAAGTTCGTCACAAAGGTGTGCAGAATTTACGCGCAAATGCAGTAGCTTGGCCAAGGAACAGAAAGCGAAACTTTACATCGTCAAGCGATGCATTACCATGCTTGTCTGCTGGAAAAAACATGGTGATTCTTGACCCGAGCACGTTTGGCCATGCTTAAAATTTGCTAAAAAAAATATGCTTTTAGGGAAGTATGTAGATGTGCTTAAAGGCAGCTAAAAAAAAGCTACTTTTCAGGTGAAACGGTTCTCTTCTCCTTGTTCTTATATTCCTTCTGTGAGAGATGGATTATTGGGTTTATTTGTAACCTAAAGAAGTTTTTTTCTGCCATCCCAAAGAAGAGAAATTATCAAAATTTTCTTAAGTTTCTCAATGTAACTTTATTCGAATGAGGATCCAAAGATTGCAGAAATACCACATCGTCAGAATATGTAATATAGTAGAGAATTCAATCTACCATAGATTTGGAAAAATCCATCTATTTCTTGCCATTTTAAATGTCTTAGTTGCTTGCTTTCCATGGCGTCCTTAGTGTGATCTCGTAATAGAGCTCTGTACTTTTCGTAAGTGGATTTCGCTCATCAAGTTCTTGTTCGATCTGCAGCTTAGAACACCACAATATTCATCTCGATCAGTTGATATCCTTTTATTTATGAAAGGCCGCAATCAAAGAAAAGAAACAAAACCTGTTTTTCAAATTATTAGCTAATGATTTCATGTTTCTTCAAGAATCTATCTAGAAGACGGAAAGATTGCCTTCAGTTATAAGAACCAATAATCAAAACTAGTTAAAAACCAGATCTGCCAATCACAATAGAAATCTATATTGGATTCTAAAGTCTCTTTCCTACACTATTTCCCATATAAATAACTCCCTACGAATGTCCCTGATCTCTTCTCCACTCGCAGCTCATAGGGCTTGCATTCAAGCTAGAGCAAGCGAGTGAAGCTCTCAATTTAGTGGCGCCCCACTTTTTACTAATCTCGATATCGTACGCTAGAAAAGTTACTCTCTCTCCCTTTTCTTTTCCTTTTTCTTTTTAGTGGCGGTGGTTGGTGACAGAGGAGCAGCATGGATTAAAGTCCAGGCAAAATCTAGGCTATCCTCCTCTTTTAGCTATGAAACTTCACCAAATAAGAAGAGATGCCACGAAACATCTGTTGGGAATCTACTTATATATGTACAGAGGAATTTAAGATAATTTCGATTCCCATCCAATAGATCTCATTGTGTTTGGTTAGGAATTGTGATAAGATTGTACCTTTTCCAGATCTGCAATCCTTTTGCTTTTCTTTTCGTTCCACAACTTTGATTCGCCACCACAGCTGTCCAATTGTCCAGCCTCCAACGGTGATCCACACAGAGAATATGATTGCAGCCTCTAGGGTTTTCTCTTGTGCTAGCAAGAATAATGAAAACCTTAATGGACCTCAAACCCTAGTTATGTATTTATATAAACCCAAACAGGCTCGGCCCGGTCCGGTCCAATAATTAATTAATCCAATTAATTAAACCCGGTCCGTGAATTAATTAATCCAATTAATTAATTCGAAAATATAAATAACAAATTCAATTAATTAATTTATCAACGATTGTTAAATTAACCAATTGAAAATTTTGCAATCTTCCAATTCTCTTTTGTGTATGACCCATTGGTTCCCGACCACGATGCCTAAGGACGTGAAATATTATTTTGATCTAATCAAAATTGATAAATTAAAACACCCTTTTAATTTATCGCCAATTCACATTCGCCGTCC